TTAACAAGCTCCCTCCGTAGAGGAATTCTCTTTTAAGATTTTCCAACGATATCTTTAACTAAAAATTATCGTCACTCTCTCTGAGCGTAACAAAATATCGTTAAATATCTTCATCTACGCGCTCTGCATTAAGATCTCCCTTATAAAAAAAACTCAAATATTGAACATTTACATTCGATTATTTGAATTTACTCTCAAATTTAAATATATATACCCAAATTTGAGTGCATATACTCATATTTGAGAGTAAATTCGAATAATCGAGTGTAAACGCTCAATATTTGAATGTCTTTTTTGTAAGAGCTAATAGATCTCCAAGTTTTATTCATCAGATTGTTTACGTTAAAAAATAAAGAGAAGATCGCAATTCTCTTGTTCGTCCGGTCTTTTTGATTCTCATCTCGTAAGCACATCACTCATCGGTCGTAGCAGCCGGTGGCAGCCAGCTCATGAATCGAGCCTAGGCTCGACTTTGAAGCTCAAACAAGCGTGCGTCAAAAGCTTACAACAGGGTTACACGAGCTACGCCTTTAGTCGACGCGACGATCCGCTACCGCGATACAAAACGATCGGATTTGTGTCACGGATACCACAAAGAGAAGAAATAAAACAGGACGGCAGTGAAGTGCTGCGCGCTCGTTTCTATAGTGGCGTATCTCGATTCTCGTTCCCTCCTTTTCTCCACAAGTAAATTTGACATTGGCCAAATAAACACATTGAGGCCGGCTACGTTTGAAGTGGTCCCCGTTGACAAGGTGATTCGTGAATATCGGCGCGATTGTTCCACTGTGGGTCGCCCGCCGTCGCCTGCCGTCGGCACTTTTTTGAACAACGGGGGCGGTTTCTCTTCTCCCAGGTATCCACGCCATCCATGTCAGTGACTTCTAGACATTCTTCTTCTTGTAGAAAATCAGGATCGCATTTTGCGCGGTTTCATAGGATAGAAAGAAAGAGAAAAAGAGAAGAAAGGAGAAAAGGAAGAAGGAAAAGAGAAGGCAAGAGAGAGAGAGAGAGAGAGAGAGAGAGAGAGAGAGAGAGAGAGAGAGAGAGAGAGAGAGAGAGAGAGAGAGAGAGATTGGATCGTGACATTTCAAAAGAAATCTATTATCATCACCTGTTCTTTCACTCATGACCATAACGTTTATCCGCGGAAATTGATCACGGAACGTTTTCCTCACTCGTTCTCTATCACTTCACATGGTAGAAGATTGATTTCATAATTTGTTTCAGTAGCTAAGTATTAATGAACACTTCGATGACCTTGAACTTCATATATGCTGTCAAGGACATTTCCCTGACTTGCAAAAAATTTTAGTCGGCGGCCAATGTTTATTAAAAAATTACTAACAAAAGAATTTCCATAAATGACAGTCTCATCTCTGTATTTATTTGTTTATGCATGCAAAATATGTATATGTTGACGAAAAAGAAGCAGAATTTTTCCTCTTGCCCTCTTCATTTCCAAAAAATAATTTGATCCATCCTAATATAACCTGACCTGACTTAATTCAACTTACTAGGTGTGCAACTAAGTTTCCGGGTTTTTTTGATCAATGAAAAATGGAAAATTTCAAGAGAAATACAAAAAATGGTTTATTCAAAGTATCGTCCCTCGCTAGCTACAATTTTTGCCATCTCTCTGGCAATATATGAATACCACGACGATAAAATGACGCGTCTTTAAACCGAAACCATTCATCCAACCAATTTTGCACTTTTTCGAAATTGGCCAAGTGTTGCCCAGCCAAGCCATGCGCCATCGACCGAAACAAGTGGTAATCGGAAGGGGCCAGGTCTGGCGATTACGGCGGGTGCGGTAGCAGATCCCATTTCAGCGTTTTGATGGTGTCCTGGACGATGGAAGTGCGATGGCACGGAGCGTTGTCGTGCTGCAATATCACTCGTTCGTGTCTCGTGTCCCATTCTGGCCATTTTTCGAGCAATGCATGGTTCAAATTGATCAGTTGTTGTCGGTAGCGATGCCCATTAACAGTTTCGCCTGGCTTCTTTTCAGCAGCTCATAGTACACGATTCCTTTCTGGTCCCACCAAACGCAGAGCATTGTCTTCTTTCCGAAGCGATTTAGCCGTGCCGTCGATGTTGATGCTTCGTCAGGTGAAAGCCACGATTTTTTGCGTTTGGGATTATCGAAATATATCCACTTCTCATCGCCAGTAACAATTCGATGCAGGAAACTCTTGCTTTCATGCCGCAAGAGAAAAATTTCGGAAGTGGCTTTTCGATTTCCCATCTGTCTCTCAGTCAACTCATGCGGTACCCATTTTCCTTCCTTTTGAATTTTTCCCATGGTATGTAAACGTTTGGAAATACCTTAGCGAGTCATGTTTAATGCCTCCGCAAGTTGATCTTGTGTTTGCGTATCTTCATCCAATAACGCTTGTAGATCGGCGTCCTCAATTGTTTTTAGTCTTTTGGAGCGTTCCTTGTCCTCAGTGTCAAAATCACCACTTCTGAAGCGTTTAAACCAATCTTCACAAGTAGTTTTCGATGGTGCCTGTTCGCCGTAGGCCTCCTCAAGCAAACGACGTGCTTCAGCTGCACCTTTTTTCAAGTTAAAGCAGAAAAGCAAAGCTTCCCGCAAATACTGTTTATCTGGCACAAAACTCGACATTTTCGTTGTTAGAAAAAATATTTTTGCGTTGCGATATGTGTTGGTATTACGACTGATTATTCTTAACAGATGTCCAAGCTATAAAAGAAAACACAACTTCAGACATGTATGTCGACTACATGTGTCGTTAGCGCCATCCATGTGTGAAACCCGGAAATTTAGTTGCGCACCTAGTAAGTTAGAATATAGGAGAAGATGAGCAGGAGGAATAAAGTAAGAAAGGAAAGAGGAATAGATGTGTATGTGTGTGTGCGTAGGCAAAATAGGAACGAGCGAATAAAATATAAGAAATTGTAACTCCATAATAGAGAATCAATAAATGATTACATACATACTAACGGGAGGTGTTTCGCTGCCCCTATCTCCTATTGAAGGCTTCGCCTTTTGGATCTCCATCAGTCGGTTGTAAAAATACTTGAATTTATATAAATATTCTTATAAATCTATTAGTCTCTATATAAAATATATAAATTCAAATAATTTTATAAATGAGTGATGGAGGTCCAAAGGATAAATATATTTACTAAATCTTCGTCTTACTAAATTGATGAGTCTACAATATACCAAAAAAAGTATATATTGAAAAGTATATACTGAAAAGATTAGCGAGGCCTCTACGCAAGGTATCATGAAGATTATTAATATCATTAAGTAGATACAGGTTAACTTTTTACATAGATTTAACGTCGTTACATAGATTTAATGTTTTATCACATAAAAATTATATAGAAATTTGCAAACTCACAAGGAGATGGCAAAATACGTAAAATCGATAATTAAACGGGTCATACTTCATTCGAATAAGGCGGTTGAGTACATAAAAACTCTAAAAGAGTTTGCGTGCATGAGCCTTTGTTTGCGAGAAATTTGCGATTAAAAAAACAGCTACATATTAAATGTAGTAACTTGGAATCGCAATACCGCGTGAAGCGCGATAGCTGCGAAAGCTAAGGCGCGCGCTAGTATTTTATCGTCCAAGGTATGTTCGAGTCCTCGCAGTGCCAACTTTTTTTTATAATATTATGTATTACTATATTTTATATTTCTATATTTTTATTATTTTTTATAGGACAAAAATATAATGCACACATATACAATATCTGTTTTATTATATAAAAAATAAGAATAAAAAAATAAACGTTTAAATAAACGTTTATTCTTGTTATTTTTTTTATATAATATATTTTATTATGCGAAAACTTGAAGGGCTAGAGCACAGACTTCTGCATAACGCATAAGAGAATCAACAAATCAAAGTTCTTCATTTCTGTCCTGAGGAGGGAAATGAAGAACTTTGATTGGTTGATTCTCTTACGCGTTGTGTATTATGCATTATATAGAAGTTTGTGCTCTGGCCCGAACACTCCTCGGACGTAGATGACAAAATACTAACGCGCACCTTAGCTATCGCGCTTCACGCTTATTGATTCCAAGTTACTACATTTAACATGTAGCTGTTTTTTAATTGCAAATTTCTCGTAAACAAAAGCCCATGCACGCAAATCCTTTTAGAATTTTTATGTACTCAACTCCCCCATTCGAGTGAAATATGACTCATTCAATTATCGATTTGACATGTCTTGCCATCTTCTTGTCAATGAGATAGACTATTATACTTATGAGATAGACTATTATATTTAATTGTGCGGTAAAAATATTGGTCGACGTAGAACTTATATTTTCGGATTTTTGTCCTATAAAAAACTTACCACTCCCCTTTCCTTTAAAACCTTACATGCTTTCTTATAGTTAATTCTATTAATTGTGGTAAAAAATTGCGATTTTTAATACAGTAATACTTCTTGATATTTACCAAAATTTTTTGTTAATAAATAAAACTTTTTAATAAATAATGACCACCGACTGAAACTTTTGAAAGTTACTCAGGAACATGTCCTTGATAACATATATGAAATTCAAGGTTATCGGCAAAGTGTTCCTTAATATGCATAATTACCTTTATTTCAATTTCAATTTATTCCAGTGACTCCGTTTAACCCAAAACAAACGATTTTCCAACACGTAAGTCTGTTTATTTTAAATAATTATTTTTTCCAATATTTTACCAAATTATTTTAATAATCTGTTATACGATTTAAAATTACTTTCAAATATCGACAACGCATGATGATGAATTTTACTGTATCATAAAAGTGCTATATAACAGGCAAAAGACGTCATAGTTACAAAAAATATATTGCATAAAACATCGATTAATACCTTAAATTAATACCTTAAATCTATCTGTACTAAATTCTTTGACAAGTTGCAATCCTGAGGTAAAAAGCTTTGTTTGAGACCAAACGAAAAAAATAAAGCTTTGTTGTTTTTGTAAAAAATTAAAATTAAAGATCACAAAAAATATTTTACATTTATTCGTATATGTTTCACTTATTGACGATTCTTATAACATATAATTGGATGAGAACTATTGTGGTACATAAGTATATTGATAGTTAATGACGTTTAAAAAAGTTTCCTTCACTTATAAATCTTATAAAACAATGCATACATAATGATTTACAAAACACGATATTATAAGATGTTTATAATAACATATGTCGATTATAAGAAACTGTAAGGAAATGTAACAATCGTATGATGCATAGATTGGATATTTACAAAAATTCATTTGCGTTGATGCATCTCTTAAAAAAAAAACGAATTTCTATCGTTACAACTGCATAAGGAAGATGCCAAAAGGATAAATTATATAAAGCATACACAATCAAACACAACTTTACTTAGAAAATATTCTACGATTTTTTGCCGTTTCGATGCAATCATATACGAAGTAGATAGTACGTGTAGATAGTATGTCATTTTTTAAATATACATCATGTATGTAATCAGTATATTTATGCAGGAAATGTTTGATTAAAATATTGACTGTGCCAGCTATATATGTATGAATAAAACTTAACTGCGTAATTAGTTTTGTATGAGTGCTTTGAAAAATATTTGCACGTTAAGTGTGACAGTGTCAAAATATAAACACAGTATTGCAACTTACACTTCACCATGCGTCTTTTGATGTATTTTCAGTGTAGTTCTATTAATAAAGGCCTTCGAACAAATTGAACAGGGATATGCACGTGAAAGATGTTGTTTCAAATGCTCGGTGTATATTGTGTTGTTCTTACAATATTTTTTGCAAATATTGCATTTAAGGCCCTCTTTAACGTCCTCCAAGTGAGTTCTCGTATGTATATCAACTTCACCAACATTATCAAATTCTTTGGAGCATACATTGCAGCTAAACTTTACTGGCTGTAGAATGCCTATTTGACTACCTGTTAAAGGATTTGGCATCGGAAATATGTTGTTGGTCTCATTAATATTAGCTCTCAAGCTCTCTTTCTTTTTATGAGAGTTTACATGATTCCTACGAGATAATATTTTTATTATTACAATAAAGTAATATTTAAAAAGTTATCGATTCTTATAAAAACATGTCTCAAAATTAAAATGCTTTTACAGCAAATTAATATTAATAATCACTTTATGCTTTGCACATGGTGACAATTTGCAACAATTCAAATATGAAAGTAGCTTACCTATAAGTTTGCTCATTACTAAAAGTGACATTACAACTCGTACACTGGTAATCGCTTTGATGAGCAGATATTTTCACAGGTGAAATGAGTTGATGTAAGGTGTTCAAGGTCCTTAACTTAGGATGCTCATTTAAACAATGATGTTTAACATCCTCTTTCAGTTCAAATACCTTTGTACATAGGTGGCATTTATATGGATATGAGGGATCAGTACTAACATGATACCTCACATGCTTATCATATATCAACTGAGTGTTACTTTCTGTGTGACATATGTCACAAATAAGATACTTCTTGGCGTGAACATTTAATAACTGCGAGCTGGAAGAAGTTGTGTGGTATACAGAGTCCTCCTTGTTATCATAGACATCTTTCCTTGTGACATAATATCTGTTGCACAGCTCACATTGAAACGCTGGTTTCGAATTGTATATACATTTTCTTATTTTGCAGCTACCTCTCACACAGGTTTTCTTCACAACATTCTGCAATGACTGTATTTTCTCTCGGATTCCATATTCGCTTATTGTTAAATCTTTCATGTTATTATTAAACATCAATAAAGGCACTAGTTTTTTACATCGTGGACCCGGTCTACCTCGTATCTTATCAATTTGTATTGTCAAACGATATATTTCCTTATTTTTCTCACAATTTCCATCTGTAGCAGTTGATATAGTGGAACCATTCATAGCTGTCACATTATTAATCAATACATCCATCTTATTTCCAGTAGCTGAATCTTCAATCTGCAATAAGAAAAAATATAGAAAAATTTTAACTATATATATATGTATATATTGTAATTTATTATAAATACATGCTCATAAGTTGCCTCAAGTACTTAAAAAGTAGATTTACATTATCCATATGTTGTGTGAATAAATTTTCAGATGACACTGCTATAGTATGTGACTGCTCATCTAATTTTTTCTGCTTTGAGGGTGGTACTTTTACCAGCATTGTTTGTAGTGTATTTTCAGCTTTATGTTTTCTAGGAGGTTCTATAAAAATACATATATATATATTATATTTATTATACTTTATAAGGTTTTATCAACAACACCTCTTCGAATATATCTTATGAATATTTTTATGTTATAAAAAACTATATATATATATTCTTTTTCCTATTCAATCTATATCCAATTTTCCTATTTTAATAGGAAAATTTTATTAAATTATTTTGATTTTGTCATATGAAAAAATAAATACGTATAATTATTACTTTTATGAATGTATAAATATCATTAATATTTGTAAATATTCCACAAAATACTGAAATATTTGTCAAAAAATATTTTCATAAAAGAATACAAGATTATAACTAAGTTTACATACCTTCTATTCTACCAAACAAAGTAGGGACAGCAGTCGACTTCAAATCCCTGGATGTAGTAAAATTGACTCTTTCAAAATGCAGCTCACAAAGATACATGGGTTCCTTATCAATGACACCAGATGCCAGATTGCAATTATGAAGCCATTGATCTTTTCTACTGAAATTTAGTGCAGACAAAAAGAATAATGATTGAAGTATTGATCATTAGGAAACGAAAACTACTTACAAATCATCTTCTGGGAAAGCATAAAATGAAATCGGCCTGCCATCAATCTTTGTAGTTTGGCTAGAAGGACAGCCCTTAGCTGAACAGGTTATCATCATATCTTACTAAAGTAGTTCCTTGCGCACAAAATATAAGGGATGATGTTATATTATTAACTCGACACCATGTATTAGTTTCGGATAACCTAAAAACAAAACTTAAATTTCGCCGCAGTTGACGCGGAAAAACTAAATTTATCAGCGATACAGACAACCAACTAACAACAATATATCGTATAGTAAATGGTTCAGCACATTCCACATGCGCAATGTGCGGGAACACAATTGGAATAAAGCATAGGCCAAATGCACACAGGACGCGACAACACTTGCAGCGCGCAGAAGTTGGTTAGGGAATATTGCAGTAGCCAATGAACGTCACATATGCTACATGTATTGCAATTCCATTTCCGGGTAAGATCAGAGAGGAACATGAGACCGGCCAACACGGTGTTTTCAACGACACCGACTTTCCGCACTGGGAAAAATGGCGCCATCTGCATCCATTTTTAAGCAGCTGCAAAGCGTTGCAACTGCTTCGTACATTTCCGAAGATGGATGGAAATGCACCAATCAGAACGCAGTATTTTCATCCAGCAAGCAATCCAGCACGAAAACAAGCATCGTATGCCGCTGGCTTTATTCTTTCTGGGCTATAATCTGACAAGGGCTGCTGCCAAACTTGGGGTCACTGATTTTGATGAGTTTTGGCAGAAATGTAGTATAGGTCTAGCAAAAGTTACTGTTAACCGGAGACGATGCAACACTCAAGCATTTGGAAGAAATTATAAATTGAAATTTTGCGATTTTAAGTATGCTCCGTTATTCTAAAGGCTCGTCTACAATAGCTGTAAGAGTAAGGCTGTAAGGCTGTAACGTAAGCTGTCAGCGAATGAAAATATTTCATTTCGTGCCTTGCAACCTTACAGCCTTACTCTTACAGCTAATGTAGACGAGCCTTTAACATTTGCAGAGTTATTTCCAAATGACGGCGTAAAGCTAAGACTCCATGCATGCGGTGAGCTCCGGCAAACGGCTGCGGTGACCAATCAGGAGACAGACGCATGCCGGAGTTTGCCGCAACCGGACTTGCGCCTCCCTCCTGATTGGTTATCGCAGCATTTGCCGCAGCTCACCGCATGCATGGAGTCTTAGCTTTAGGTAGCAGACTGTGCGCGGTGCTGGTACTGCCCCGCAGATTTGACCCAGGGTAGCAAAGCTAGAGAGGCCGCGGATAAGGAGGGGCAACGGTGGAGGCCGGCATACATGGACAGCAGGTCTTTGACTTTGAGAGACCACCAGCTTGTACCATTAGGTACAAGCAGAGAGGAATGTGAGAGCGGCCAACACGGTGTTTTCGACGACACCGACTTTCCGCACTGGGAAAAATGGCGCCATCTGCATCCATTTTTAAAGGGGAACTACAATGCCACATCCACTTTCAGGTTTCGGCGGTAAAACCTGTATGTGGTGGCAGTCCGTGCTACATCCATTTTTAGGCGGTTTACGTCCGTGCTACAACCATAAAGCGTACTTGACAAGCACGTCTTGCACATTGTTACGCATTTATAACATGAATTAACATGTTAACATGTGCAAAAAAAAAAGAATTGACATTGTGTATGATTAATATCATGAAGATCATACGAAGTATCCGGTAATTAGCTGCCAACCCGAAGTGTGAGGGTAGATTGGCTCAAGGCAAACATAAAAATCCTATATCATTTTGCGAGATTCGCAATAATTATCGAGTTATTAATGACAGAAATCTGAGGAGTAAAAGCGCGCCGATATAGGTGATTCGAAAAGCGTTGCAGCTGATCGGGGCAGCGATCATGAATCTTTTCCCTAGCGTGAACTAATAAAAAGTGAAAGACTTCTGTGAATCAGTGAAAAATGAAAAATTTTATATGAATTTGTGAAAATCGAAACATTTCACACGACAATTGAGTCGTTCGACATGGCAGTTGCGCGTTCTGGATAATTCAATGAATACCAAAGAAATCAAAATGATCAAAATAATAATGTCCGTGTAGTCCGAAGGATATTACGTGACACGCAAAATCCGTTTGATATAATATCCAAAGAAAATGTTTCAAAATATGTATGTACAGGTAATATAAACTTTATGCACCGACGAGATATACTACAAAGACTGATGGCCTTACAGGATTTAGCGTACCAGAGAAATTTCTCTGGTGAGGCACCCGGGCGAAAGAGACCGTCTCGCATTTAGCGCAGTAAAATTTAATGGGAACTAATACTTTTCAATCATCTTCTTCGGACCAAAAAGATACAGAATTCAGACATATTCAAAATGTCAATACTTTGTAATACGTTTCAATTCGACATTTTATACAGGGAAGCAGGACGAAGGGAATGGGATGCGGGCAACGATACATCATGCGTCTCCAGACGTGTCAAATCGTTTATTATAGAGGAGACTTTGATACGGCAACATGTATTCGAATATTTAATCGTCCCATGGACCACTTATATATAATAAAAAAAAAAATTAACGCGGACAAATGAACGATTCGTATCAATTTTTCCTTTTCTTATAGAGCAATGAAAGAGTAAATCAGTATCGAAAATCGAATACCGATTAATATAATAAATCAGTGTCAGAAAATGACAATATGTCCAATGACAATATGTTCTCATTTTTCAGGTAGTTACCGCTGTAATTTACCCAACAAATTAACTCGGTTAAACGTACGATTCGTACCAATTTTTCTTCTCTTATAAAGAAATGAGAGAATCAATCAGTACCGAAAATCGAAGGCCGATCAATACTTAACTTATTCATCAAATTAACGCGGATTAATGGACGATTCGTATTAATTTTCTGTTTTCTTATAGAGAAATGAAAGAGTAAATCAGTACCGAAAATCGAATATCGATCAATAGCGTAAATCAGTGTCAGAAAATTGTCCAAGTGCAATGACAAGTTGTTTTCATCTTGCAGGTACTTACCCCACTAATTTACAACAAATTAAGTCGGATAAAAGAACGATTCATATCAATTTTTATTCCCTTATAAAGAAATTAGAGAATCAATCAGTACCGAAAATTGAAGATCGATCAACATTTAATTTATTCATCAAATTAACGCGGATGAATGAACTATTCGTATGAATTTTTTTTTCTTATAGAGAAATGAAAGAGTAAACCAGTACCGAAAATCGAATATCGATCAATAGCGTAAATCAGTGTTAGAAAATTGTCCAAGTGCAATGACAATTTGTTCTCATTTTTCAGGTACTTACCCCTCTAATCTTATTCAACAAATTAACTCGGATAAACGAACGATCCGTATCAATTTTTTTTGTCTTATAAAAAAATGAGAAAATAAATCAGTGCCGAAAACCGAAGACTGATCAATATCATAAATCAATGTCAAGAAAATTGTCCAAGTGCAATGACAAGTTGTTTTCATCTTGCAGGTACTTACCCCACTAATTTACTCAACAAATTAAGTCGGATAAAAGAACGATTCGTATCAATTTTTATTCTCTTATAAAGAAATTAGAGAATCAGTCAGTACCGAAAACTGAAGACCGATCAATATTTAATTCATTCATCAAATTAACGCGGATAAATGAACGATTCGTATGAATTTTTTTTTTCTTATAGAGAAATGAAAGAGTAAATCAGTACCGAAAATCGAATATCGATCAATAGCGTAAATCAGTGTTAGAAAATTGTCCAAGTGCAATGACTATTTGTTCTCATTTTTCAGATATTTATCCTTCTATTTTACTCAACAAATTAACTCGAATAAACGAATGATTCGTATCAATTTTTCTTATCTTATAAAGAAATGAGAGAATAAATCAGTACCAAAAATTGAAGACCGATCAACATTTAATTTATTCATCAAATTAACGCGGATAAATGAACGATTCGTATGAATTTTTTTTTCTTATAGAGAAATGAAAGAGTAAATCAGTACCGAAAATCGAATATCGATCAATAGCGTAAATCAGTGTTAGAAAATTGTCCAAGTGCAATGACAATTTGTTCTCATTTTTCAGGTATTTATCCCTCTATTTTACTCAACAAATTAACTCGAATAAACGAATGATTCTTATCAATTTTTCTTGTCTTATAAAGAAATGAGAGAATAAATCAGTACCGGAAATTGAAGACCGATCAATATTTAATTTATTCATTAAATTAACGCGGATAAATGAACGAGTCGTATCAATTTTTTTTTCTTGTAGAGAAATGAAAGAGTAAATCAGTACCGAAAATCGAATATCGATCAATAGCGTAAATCAGTGTTAGAAAATTGTCCAAGTGCAATGACAATTTGTTCTCATTTTTCAGGTATTTATCCCTCTATTTTACTCAACAAATTAACTCGAATAAACGAATGATTCGTATCAATTTTTCTTGTCTTATAAAGAAATGAGAGAATAAATCAGTACCGGAAATTGAAGACCGATCAATATTTAATTTATTCATTAAATTAACGCGGATAAATGAACGAGTCGTATCAATTTTTTTTTCTTGTAGAGAAATGAAAGAGTAAATCAGTACCGAAAATCGAATATCGATCAATACCATAAATCAGTGTCAAAAAATTGTCCAAGTGCAATGACAATTTGTTCTCACTTTTCAGGTACTTATCCCTCTAATCTTATTCAACAAATTAACTCGGATAAACGAATGATCCGTATCAATTTTTTTTGTCTTATAAAATAATGAGAAAATAAATCAGTATCGAAAACCGAAGACTGATCAATACCATAAATCAATGTCAAGATAATTGTCCAAGTACAATGACAAGTTGTTTTCATCTTGCAGGTACTTACCCCACTAATTTACTCAACAAATTAAGTCGGATAAAAGAACGAATCGTATCAATTTTTGTTCTGTTATAAAGAAATTAGAGAATCAATCAGTACTGAAAATTGAAGACCGATCAATATTTAATTTATTCATCAAATTAACGCGGATAAATGAACGATTCGTATGAATTTCTTTTTTCTTATAGAGAAATGAAAGAGTAAATCTGTACCGAAAATCGAATATCGATCAATAGCGTAAATCAGTGTTAGAAAATTGTCCAAGTGCAATGACAATTTGTTCTCATTTTTCAGGTATTTACCCTTCTATTTTACTCAACAAATTAACTCGGATAAACGAACGATCCGTATCAATTTTTTTTGTCTTATAAAATAATGAGAAAATAAATCAGTACCGAAAACCGAAGACTGATGAATACCATAAATCAATGTCAAGATAATTGTCCAAGTGCAATGACAAGTTGTTTTCATCTTGCAGGTACTTACCCCACTAATTTACTCAACAAATTAAGTCGGATAAAAGAACGAATCGTATCAATTTTTGTTCTGTTATAAAGAAAT